CTTAATTTTTGCCTCATTTTTAGGAGGCAAGATCAGATTTTAAGTGCCACAACTAACTTACCTTTGAAAGTATCTTAACTATTTATAGGGAATACAGAATGTTGAATCTGGTTGAATGAAAGCTAAGTATCAGGTGTTCAGTGTTTGTTTTTTTTTCACCAACAGAGAATAATATATTGTATGTTTACGAGGAATTCCGCAGAACGTTAAGTGAGTCACCTGGGTGCCCTTTGTTCTCTTGCTGTATTTGTAGGGGATAATATTAAAGCCATTTCAAACAAATGCCACAGGTACTCAGAGAGATTCAGCAGATGCCCATCAAGCAAACAGAAGTGTATACAGGGTGTCCCAAAAAATGGATACACACTTTACTGCTGATAGTTCAATTTTGAAAATGAAGGGTACTTTAATAAGCACTGGCTTAATAATTATTCAAAGTGTATGTGCACATTTTAGGGGGACACCCTATATATCAACTTAAATGCTTAGCAATTTTCATCTTCATTCCCTGAATTTTTTGTTGTTGCTGTTGATCCTCACCTGAGGATATTTTTCTATTGATTTTTAGATAGAGTGGAAGGGAGGGAGAGAGACACACAGAGAGAAACATCGATGTGAGAGAGACACATCCATTAGTTGCCTCCAGCAGGACCCGGTGGAGGCCAAGAATAGAGCTTTCAACCAAAGTACGAGGTATGTGGCCTTGACCAGAATTGAACCCGGACCCTTCAGTCCATGGGCTGACCCTCTATCCACTGAGCCAAATTGGCCAGGGCCCTGAACTTCTGTAAGTTGTTAAAATTCTTTCACATGGTTACACTGGCAACATTCGTTGTAGTTCAGAGCTTCTGATTAAGAAAGAACAGATAATATTGGGCCATTAAGAAAGAATAGATAATATTGGGCCACTCCCTACAGCCCCCAGTTTTTTTGTTGAAATTTCCTATTTAAATAAATAAAGTAATCATTGCTTGCTATTTTCCAACCTCAAAGACCTCTCATCAGATTAATACAATCAAATACCACAAAGATTAAGGGGATACGTAATTTACCCATTTTCTCATGAGAGTGGTAACCAATGAAGAAAGACAGAGGCAGCAAAGGCAGGTCTCAATTTTACCGATAGATGTGATTGATGTAACCCTCACATTTCAGTGCTCCCTGAGCCAGCTGGATACGCCCCTCTCTACAGGACGGGTGTGAGTCCTGCTGGGGACAGAGAGGCAAGAAAGACTTACTCTGACTTACTCTGCAGTGGGCATCAAAGGGAGAGTTGATCATCTCTTGCATAGGGAGGGAAAGTGACCCACTGTCTGTGTGGGACCTGGCCAGTGCCCACCAAGCTTCCAGCACCTTCCTTCAGGGACATGGAGACAGGCAGAAACCCCTGCCATCAGTTCCCTAAAAGTAAATGCGAGAGAGAGAGAGAGAGAGAGAGAGAGAGAGAGAGAGAGTCCTTATTCCTCCTCCCCCACAACTATTTTCTCCAAAATTTTAATTGTGACTTTTGTACATAGAAACCCCTAAAAAAATGTAGGCATCAATCAGTAATAATACCTTGTCTTCCCATCAAAATCCCCTATCACAGTTAAAAAGAATGCTCACATAAGATACTGTTCAGGAATAAACTTTTGGTTTATCTTTTTGACATATATAATATTTTGTTTTTAAATATGTGAATGAGTGTAAAGATAGGATTATATATGCTAAATTACTTTTCAAATCTTCAACTGCCTTAAATGTTTTCAGTAATTTTGAAAAGTTTTGCTCTCTCTAGGGCAGTGGTTCTCAACCTGTGGGTCATGACCCCTTTGGGGGTCGAACGACCCTTTCACAGGGGTCGCCTAAGACCATTGGAAAACACATATTTAATTACATATTGTTTTTGTGATTAATCACTATGCTTTAATTGTGTTCAATTTGTAACAATGAAATTGGGGGTCACCACAACATGAGGAACTGTATTAAAGGGTCGCAGCATGAGAAAGTTTGAGAACCACTGCTCTAGGGTATGGAAAGGGCTAGTACTGAGTAAATCATAGACCCATAGAACACATGTAAATCACAGATCTTCCTGGCTCTATGCTGGGCTATTCAAGTATATTAAGTCATGAGTAGTTGAAGATGAAAGGTACCCTAAAGATGACCTCATTCAGTCTTATTTCATGGGTGAAGTAAGTGGGAGACAGAAAGAATAATGAACATGCCCTCAGATGATGTTAGCAGCAGAATCAGGGTTTGAACACAGTACTCTTTACTCTTAGGTCAATGCTATTTGTGCCATGCTATGCTGATATTCAGGACAAGACTCTAAGTGTTTTTAGCAGTTATTGATTGGTGTGCACACTGTATTTCAATATGTAAATAATATGTGGGTGCATTTTTTTCTCAAGTGATTACAATTAGTTAAGAACCCTCCAGGGGACAAACTGTGTTGATGCTATTCCATCTGGAAGTCCTTTGTGAATTAATTGTGTTGTTTTGTATTTCGATGAACTATAACCCATATTTTATTCACAAACATCAGAAGAATGGATAATAGATAAGTTCACCAAACAAATGCTTTCAAAAGTTCATTTCAGTCCTATGATTCTACACTTTTCATTATAAATTTATTATATGTTGTTGATATACTTTGCCCAATCTTTACAAACAAAACAAAGGAGAAGTTTGAAATAGTGATGCATATAATTTCTGTCAAACAGAGATTTTACTGAGCTAAGAAATTAGCTATAAAAAGTAGTACAAAATTTTTTCATAATTGTAAAAGACCGTGATATCAATTTAGAGAAAACACAAATACACAAGACACTAGCTCATAAAATATTATAGAATGAGCATTATCCTCATTTTTGATACTGTATTTAACATTATTTATTAAAACGATATTATGTAATATTTTGCCACATTGAATTTAACACACAAAATGGGCAAATTATATTCTGGATAACTAAAAGTCTGTCTTGCTACAGCTCCTTGTACATGGGCAAAGGAGAAGTAGCATTTTCACCTCCGAATTACTCCAGATACTTCTAAATAATTCTGACTTTATACAAATTTTGTAAGTTTGTTTATTTTTTATTACGTTGAAAATATTTTTATTGATTTTAGAGAGGAAGGGAGAGGGAGAGAGAGATAGAAACATCAATGATGAGAGAGAATCATTGATTGGCTGCCTTCTGCACATCCCACACTGGGGATTGAGCCCACAACCCATGCATATGCCCTGACCGTGGATCAACCATGACCTCCTCATTCATAGGTTGCTGCTCAACCACTGCTGAGCCAAGGTTGGGCTTGTGAGCTTATTTTAATGCAATTCTAGATCAATGTATGTGTGATGGTTTTATTTTTCTCGTTTAAAACAACTTCTGAGTTACTAACAAATCTCTTTTGAGGGCAGCTGCCATGGCCTCTACAGTGAAGAGTTCATGTATTTCGTTTTTTCCTGTTTTATTTCAAAGTTAACTAAATTACTTTCCTTTTAGTTAAATATATTATTATATTAAATGAATCTATGTATCCTATTATCCTTGAGGAAACCTATGGCTTCATAGTGTTATGGTCAAGCAGTCCCATGAGTTTGGTTGGTAACACATAGTAAACTAATGGCTATTAACCCTAATGTAGGGGAGTCTTGCTTAGCTCCACACAACCTGGTGGAAGAGAAAGTCACCAAAAGGATGATGAGATAAGGAAGACTATGAAAAGCAGGAAAACAATGATTAGCAGAAGGACATCTCCACAGGCCTCATCCATGGAGCTTCATTTGCATTTGAGTAACATAAGACTATCACTTCCTTTTTCATACACAATCTTACCTTCCAAAATATACTACTATCTACTGTCTAATCACAATCTGAACCAATTTCTTCAGACAGAATAGCATATCAATATTTAAATAATTTATAAAATAATGTCATGGTATTGAACCTTTTAGTTCAAAATAATTTTTATAAGAGATAAATACTTCACTAAATTATATTTTCACCAGGGAGAAATTTTGAAAGCATTTGTTCTATATTTATGTACATGAATTATAAATATTCTCTATTTTGTGTTTTGTACCTTGTAACTTGCTAGGAAATAGATCATCATTCTAGTGTTGCTTTACTGTTGGGAGGTCCACAAATGCTCAGGGCTTGATTTCCCCATACAGCTTTGGAAATGAGAATGTCAATCCATATAGTAACTAATACAAATGTATACTAAAGCTAAGGCTCATTTAAATTGTATCCCACAAATATTTTAATGATGGAAAAGTCATTATACACCCATAACACCCTTGCCAGTGTAAAGCACGTTCTTTTCAAGAACAACTACTATTTTTCATCATCTATTTAATTGAATCATAATGCACTATATTTTTATAGCAGCCCCATGTAGCATAGTCAAGTTACTTTTTATCATAGTTTGTTTCCAGTTCATGCCAACTAAAATGTAATTCTCATGTTATCATTACCAAATATTTAAATGATATAACATGTGGAAACTCCATGGGATTTATTGCATGCTAATATAGTTTGACCTTTGAAAGTTTCAGTATAATATTAGATGTTATTGATCTTGATAAACTGATTTGAATAACTTTGATCATATTAGTTTTTAAGATATTTGAATAGCATGGTTCCTTGTTGCTGTGAAGATGGCCTCTAGGAAAATCAACTGACTTTGGGGGATTCAAATTTCAGTGGTCAGTATGAGGTGCCCCCAGTTTACACCTGGATACAGTATTTTTGTTAACCAACCCTTTACTAAAACTGACGTCTAGACTTTAGATCTAGGGACACTAGAAAAAACAATGTTTTGGTGGTATAATCATATTACATTATAGAACTTCAAATATCAATGGCCTGGATTTGCTTTGTTTTAGTCAAAACAGCCTCAGGAACCAGCATTAAAAGAACTTTGGGGAACAGTAGCACCTTTTCTGCCCTCTTCCTTTTTGTTTCTTACCAGCAAAACCTGGCAAAGCTAAAGGTTTTTTTTCCCCTTCACAGGTTTGGGATGAAAATCTTGCAAAATCTGCTGAGGCCTGGGCCGCCACCTGCATTTGGGAACATGGACCTTCTTACTTACTGAGATTTTTGGGCCAAAATCTCTCTGTGCGAACTGGAAGGTAGGACAAAAAAAGAACTTTGGGGACCAGTAGCACCTTTTCTGCCCTCTTCCTTTTTGTTTCTTACCAGCAAAACCTGGCAAAGCTAAAGGTTTTTTTTCCCCTTCACAGGTTTGGGATGAAAATCTTGCAAAATCTGCTGAGGCCTGGGCCGCCACCTGCATTTGGGAACATGGACCTTCTTACTTACTGAGATTTTTGGGCCAAAATCTCTCTGTGCGAACTGGAAGGTAGGAAGCGACTTTCCTGGCACCCTTTATGTCCACACAACGTCATTGCTCAGAGACTCCAAAGGGGGAGTGACACCAATTTCAAGTCGTATCAGCAACTGTTGATTGAGTGCTTGCTATGTGCCAGGCACAGGTGCTGGACCCCTGGCTGTTTTAGATATCTTCAAGGAGTATTTAATCGGTTTAAGGGACCTAATACGTCCAGTTTCCCATTTCACCCTTGAAGCACCCTCCCTTAACCTGCATTCTGCACTTACATCCCAGAAGCTGTGAAAGGATCAGTGGTCGGCAAACTCATTAGTCAACAGAGCCAAATATCAACAGTACAATGATTGAAATTTCTTTTGAGAGCCAATTTTTTTAAACTTAAACTATATAGGTAGGTACATTGTTATTAACCTAATTAGGGTACTCCTAAGCTGGCCTTTGCTAAAAACGTCCTCAATCTGAGGGGTCGACCTCAGCGAACGTACCCCCACTTCTTCTAACGCCATTTCTTCAAAATAGACTCGCCCAGGCCGAAAACCGACTTCTGCGCATGGGCCACGAAGTTTCAATCGCACTGTACATGTGCGCCCGCACGTGGTATTTTGTGGAAGAGCCACACTCAAGGGGCCAAAGAGCCGCATGTGGCTCACGAGCCGCAGTTTGCTGACCACTGTGCTATACCCTGTATCCTGTCACTTCTACCTCAAGAAAATCCCGACAATGGCAGAAGCCATTCTTTTGTGTCTGCAACTTTTTCCTGGTTGCATATATCTCTGTTATAAAAATTATACATATTCACATATATATGTATACACACATATGTACATACACACCTATCTGCAAGTATATGCAACTATGGAAAAGCTGTTCCCAGTGATGGGATAATTTTCCTGCCACTGTGGAATGTCATCATACAACCTTCCAAAGGCCCAGTCTCTTGCGTGTGGGGGAAGAAAATCGGGTGTCCTATTATTAAAATTAAAGTGATATAAATTTAAGGAAAAAACCCACACTGAGTTCTAGTATCATGCTACTTCTAATATATCAACTCTTAATTGTGTGTAAGATTCTGATGGAAGAAATTTTTGACATAGATAAAACAAGATAAAATGATAAGTCCCGAAATATCTACATGTCTCTTTTTGAAACGATCAGACGTAAAAAAACCCACACTGAGTTCTAGGATCATGACTACTTCTAATATGTCAACTCTTAATTGTGCGTAAGATTCTGATGGAAGAAATTTTTGACAAAGATAAAATGATAAGTCCTGAAATATCTACATGTCTCTTTTTGAAACGATCAGACGTAAACTTATGCAAATATAGGATCACTTGATCCAACTCTGGGCTTTTTTATGTTGGTCCTACTTGAATGAATAGAGGATTCTACAGGGTGGTGATGGTAATTGTAAGGGGTGGGCATGCTCTTGATTCATTGTGAATAATCTGCATAATGAACAATTAACTTACAATTTAACACGAGTCTGCCATGTGTTCTAAGTCCTCATTGTTTATCTTGATATCTAGATATCGCTCTATTCTCCAGTTGGTCAAGCCATGGTACGATGAAGTGAAAGACTATGCTTTTCCGTATCCCCAGGACTGCAACCCCAGATGTCCAATGAGATGTTTTGGCCCCATGTGTACACATTATACACAGGTTATTTCAACTGTCTTGTTAATTTTGGGGTCATACTCTTAAAAAATGGTCTTAACTATTTTTTAAAATTTATCTTTATTGTTGAAAGTATTACAGACGAACCCTTTTCCCCTCTACTGACCCCTCCTCCCCACTCTTGCTCCCTCCCCAGCCCTTCACAGCATGATTGTCTGTGTCCGTGGGTTATGCATATATGCATATACATTTGTTGGTTAATCTCTTCCCCACCCCTCCTTCCCTCTGAGAATCCTCTATGTGTTGCACGCTTCCATGTCTCTGGATCTATTCTGGTGAACATGCGTGTTCTTAGCTTTGACCTCAGTAATGTATATTGGTTTGTTTTTGCAGATGGTTTGGGCCACCTCCAATCGGATCGGATGTGCAATTCATACTTGCCAAAACATGAATGTGTGGGGAACTGTGTGGCGCCGTGCAGTGTACCTGGTGTGCAACTATGCCCCAAAGTAAGTCCCAGGTGGCATGCTGCTTCCTTGAACCTTTCATGATTATCCAATATCTTCAGTCTGTTGGGTATTTTTTTCTTTTTCTTTTTTTTTTTTAATGTGCCTCTTGTTACCTTAATGAGGTGACTTTTTCTTTTTATTGATTTCAGAGAGGAAGGGAGAGGGAGCGAGGGATAGAAACATCAATGATGAGAGAATCATTAATCAGCTGCCTCCTGCATGCTGCCTACTGGGGATGGAGCCCGCAATCTGGGCATGTGCCCTTGACCAGAATCAAACCTGGGACCCTTCAGTCTGCAGGCCGATGCTCTATCCACTGAGCCAAACCATCTAGGGCAGTCTGTTGGGTATTTTAATATGAGTGGGACTTAAATACAAGGGCCTCTGATCTTGAATCCTTCATTATTCGCATAAACCTGACAAAATGAGCTGAAAGGCTTCTTTGCACAAGGAAAAGGATTCTGGGCCAAAACTGGTGGCAAAACAATCTGAGTATGGAGATTCACTAAATTCTCACAGTCTTTCCTTTGTCATGGCGATTGTAAAATAAACTCTGTACTCCCAGGCTTTTGATAGCTACATAAAAAGCCATCAGAACACAATCTTCTAGGGAATTTATCAACACCATAATATTCCCACCTCTCAGTGCCAAAATGTCAACTTACTTTTTCCCCTAGGAAAGCAAAACAAGCCTTTCTTCCTTGTTTTAAGAGTAAAATTGAAAACTATGGTTTATTAATTCCATAGATGGCTAGGGAGGCATTCAATATTGGAAGGGGAGATATACAAGCTCTGACTTCTTTTTTCAATTGAGGCTTTGCCATGATTTAAATTTCAGTATTAAAAAGTATTTAAGCCCTAGCGGGTTTGGCTCAGTGGATAGAGCGTCGGCCTGCGGACTGAAAGGTCCCAGGTTCCATTCCAGTCAAAGGCATGTACCTTGGTTGTGGGCACATTCCCGGTGGGAGGTGTGCAGGAGGCAGCTGATTGATGTTTCTCTCTCATTGATGTTTCTAGCTCTCTATCCCTCTCCCTTCCTCTCTGTAAAAAAAATCAATAAAATATATTTTTAATAAAAGTATTTAATAATTTCATCCTATGTATTTAGTAATTTCATCCTATGGCACACATAAAAATATTGTGAAACTGATTACAGCTTCTAAAATATGGACATATTTATGAACTTTTTTTGCAATAAATAAGCATGTGTTAACATTCGAGAAAATGCCTTCTTGATAACAATAACTCTTCAGCTGATAAAAGATTGCACTGTTTATTCATGAGTCTGTTCCCATTTGGAGTAAATACCAAAATGTGCAAAGGATTTATGACATTCTTGGTGTTTTCCAAAGTAAGCCCCAAAGATTTTCTCTAGCATTGCCAGTATGGGGAGGGAATGAGAAAATGTTTCACAAACAGCTGCATTACTCATGTGTGTGGTAGTATGCCAGTGTTGTTGCAGAGTTAGAGAAAGAGCAATTTCCCCGATGGACCCCTCTTCACAATTATTAGAAGAATAAGATTTGGAAAGTAGAATGTGTCTGCTTTATGAAAAGTATGGAACTGTGCATTTGACTGATATTTTCAGTCTCACTCCTTATATTTTCCTGTTAAGCTTTTACCTTTCTTTCTGACACAAAGAGGCCAAGTATCCTCCCCAGATGATGAAAGACATTTTTATTTTATTCATTTAACTTCTCTGTTTTGGGCCAATGACTAGAATTTCTCATACCATCGATGAAAGATTTGATTGTTTTATGGGTCCAAGAGATTAAGATATTGTGTTCATGTGCTATATTTGTTGTAATAAAACGCCATTATTTTGAAACCTAGGCAATGAAGAAAGTTTTCAAATCCTGACTGATATGTGAATATGATTCTTCTAATGCCAGTATGAAGTTATCTCAAGCCTAATCGTTTTTCAGGGTAAAAAGTAAGAAGGGAGGGGGGAGAAAGAGACAGAGACAGGGAGGGAGAATTTAATTACATGCACTAGGACTAAATAATAAAAGAATAAATAATAGTTTTATTAGTTGGCTGATTTACTATTGAATACAATTAGTTATTCTCTATTCGATAAAAATCTGTGATTTATGTAAAAGTATATAACATAACATATAATTATTACAGATAATAAAATTGTGCTTCTAAATTTATGTTACCAAAATATGTGCTGTATAATTTCAAGTATATAGAATAAAAAGAAAAATATCAAATTAAAATAGCATAATCTTGATAAAGATGTAGCTTGGGTAGGAATACCTAGAGAAATACGATTTTGAATATAGAACGGGGGAACTTAGGACCTAGGAGGGAGCTGCACCCATCAGCGAATGGGGCCCCTGGATGTTTCTGAGCAAGCTTATGACATCAAAATTACACCTGAGGAAGCTTCTCTGGAGGTCAGAGTTTAGAACAAACTAGATTTGGCGGACAGTCTTAGAATCTCATCTCATGTTGTAATAGGAATCGTTAATCAGCAGGTTTTACCTGTGTGTAGATAAATGTTTTATAGACAAGTGTGGGTTTTTAACTGACTGATTTAAACTGAGACCTTCACGCCCTATAGAGACAGGTTCTGAGTCCCTGCTTGATCTTGTTCAGGTCTTAAATAAAGACTCAAGAACCACCTGTCTCATATGCTAGCCTCTTACCTATTGTCGTCTGATTTTCTACCCCGACTTTTTATTATTGACAACCAGATTTCTCCTGAGCATTCAAGTTCCTTCCCATTGTTGGCTATATTGCTATTTCCCAGTTCTCGAGTTACTAACACCAGGCTATGAAAGTACATTTATTACTCTTTCCTTTGTAATTACAGGACCTAAATAACAGTAACAGTAAGGTAATTCTCCTAAATAGTGAACTGGTGTATTATTTTGATATTGGTGATCAATACAGATAAAGGAAAATATTGAGAACACAAAGTAATTCAGTAAATGTGTTTATTATCAAAAATGAATAGCATTACTATAAAAAGGTCTAGGAGTGTATTTATGGGAAAATGTTTTGAAATCACCTTTAATTGCTTCTGTGGGCCATCATTCTCTTACTACAAAAATGGAGTTTTCCATATCTCATTTTATAAATAATGAGAATCTACAATATTTTACAACTTTAGGAACAAATTTTGTGAACATTTATAACTTTTGGTGTGTGCTTATGACAACTTTTTGTTCATTTAATCATTTCTAAGCCTCCCAGAAATGATGACATGAGTAGGAAGTTGTCATAAGCACAAAAACAGTTATAAATGTGTATATACACATATATTTTTATTATCCTTAGAATCTTATTAGTGTGAGCTTTTAAAATGTGAATCTGGCCTATGTGCTCCAGAGGATGGTTATGGGAAAGAGACAGATGTGGTGAATTGGAATGAGCATTAAGCCTGGTGTCAGTCACTTATTACCTATAAATTAAGATACTATTAATTCAGAGAGAATGTGTTTTAAAAGTAAGATATATTAATAAGTTACTGTATAAATAAGAAATGGATATAACTTTCAGTGCCTTTCCAAAATGACCAACTTCTCAAAAAAACATCATGTCAATACATGTGATCGTGTGTTTAACAACGATAAAAAAAAGTTTTATTCTCATCCCATGATATTTTTTCCATTTATTTTTTTTTTTTTTTTTAGAGAGAGCAGAAGGAAGGGAGGAGGGGGAGAGAGAGAGAGACACATCCATTGGTTGCCTTTTGCAGGAGCCCGACTGGGGCCAGAAATCGAACTGGAAACTGAGGATGTGCCCTTGACCAGGAATTGAACCTGAGACCCTTTGATCAGCAGGCTGACCCAACGCTCTAACCACTGGGCAACCAGCCAGGGCAACAATAAAAAAATTGTAAATGAGCAAGTAACATTAATGCTACCATTTTTTTCTTTTTCTCTCTAGGGGCAATTGGATTGGAGAAGCGCCATATAAAGTAGGGGTACCTTGTTCAGCTTGTCCTCCGAGTTACGGGGGATCTTGTACTGATAACCTTTGTTTTCCGGGAGTAACGTCAAACTACCTATACTGGTTCAAATAAGCTTATCAGCTCTTCCAGGAAGTTGAATGCTTTCTGGGAATCATAGGTCTATATATATATTGAGTTTTGCACATATTATACATATTTTATAACAATCTTGTTTTCCTTTTATTAGTCCTTGTATAAATTAGTGTTTGTCTAGTATGTTTGTTTAATCTTTTGAGGTCATCAGAACATCCATTTCTATTTTCTGATCTCTAACCCTAAATTAAAATATTGTATAGGTAGTATTGATATCGTTGATGCATCCACTTCTAAAACTTGCTTTCCAAAAGAATTATGTTATGTTCCTACGGCATAAAAAATCTAGTTGACCTGTAGGGTATGTGTGTGCATATATAGACATACACATGTATATGCATCTATATGTCCATATTTACACACACAAACATAACAGATGATGTAACACATTGATAATAATATGATTCAGTAGTAAACTGAAGGGAAACTTAAAATATTCTATTCAAAGTATATGTGAGGTGGTGGGATATGTCCTGCACCCACCTCTGTAATACCCACAAAATAATAGTTTGCAAAATAACCCTCAGTGATATCTGGATATAATAAATTAATTAAGCAATCCCAGATTTCATTCTGGAGACATTTTTTCTTATTTAGGTTTACGAAAGGTTATGCTCCAACTATGTAAGCTTCAAATCCTACCTTTTACTTAATCTCTTCTGGTTATGTTCTCCTAATGCGAAGATAATGAGATTCGGTTCCTGCCTTCAGAAGCTCACAAAAATATTCAGGAAATAGTACAGCCCAATGATTTGGCTGTACAATTATTGTTTTTTAACGAATGGATGTTCATGTAGCTGTGAGGAAGTGAACACAATAGCGATGTCCACCTGTAGGTGGAACAGGGGATAAGCCACGCTGTGCAGTCGGTAAGGCTCCTGATTAGTGTGGAATTTTAGCTGCAGTGCTTGGAACCAGAAGAGGCAGGAAGGAGTTAACAACTGCCCAGAAGGTACTGGGTTGGAGTAGACAGTTGTGCCTTTGGAAGAAAGGCAGAAAGCTATACCCTAAGAACACTGAAGAGGCCCAAGAGAAGTAAGATTGAGGAGACAGGTATGAAAGTCACAAAAACTCCAGGTGCAGAGCTGCGGGAGGGCCTATCCTGAGGGCCTGGTGTATCGTGAGGTCTGTCAGCAGAAGGAAAAGGACCAGAAAGAAACACCTCAGTACCAAGGACACCTCCACTGCTTCACTGTGATCGTGGGACTTTGGGGCTCATATGAACGACCCTGGGTGCCCACCACAGACAGCAATGCCGTGTTAAACAGCCCCCTTCATAACAATGTTCTGAGGACGAGTGACCAAATTTTATGTCTATGTAGATGAATACTTATCAGTTGAGTTCTCAATTAGGTTTGATTGTGGAGCTCAAAATTACCATGAAAACTTCACTCATGTGATTTTGGAAAGGCAACATTTCCTCATTCAGGAAATCGCTTTCAGAGAAAACTCAATTATCTGGGCCAAGACACTTAATGCTATATACTGCGTGTGTGTGTGTGTGTGTGTGTGTGTGTGTGTGTGTGAGAGAGAGAGAGAGAGAGAGAGAGAGAGAGAGAGAGAGAGATATGCTTAGGTTGTATAATACTTTCATAGAATTTCTGACTAAGAAAACATGGTTAGTTCCAGAATGCAAATAACAGGAGGAAGCTACTTGTTTAAAATTCCCTGCACACTTGCAGTTTCTTAGGGTGGATGCACTGAGAGGATAGATAGTTAATTAAATCCATTCAATGAGGGAGAAATGCCCATCTGGAGTTTTGATGTACACGATGACAAATAATTGGCGTGATTCCTTTTCCAAACTGGATATGGTGACCAAATGTTTTGACATCCTATTACTCTGCTTCTGTGGGCACCTATATAGACTTTATCAAAAATACATATTTTGGAGACTTAAATGAAGGATAGAAATGATTATATGGTTCAGGCCCCAATTCAAATTTTATCTAACATGCAATAGGCAGTTGGAGAGAAATCTCATTGGTAGGATTTTGGCTTGATTTCTGTAGAAAGTGTTTTCCATCCCTGATTTTGCTGCACAGAAGTAGAAAAGTACTATTCAACCGATGATGACCATGCTTAGTTCCAATTCTCTTACTGGTTTACTCGTGTAGCTTGGTTTCTTAGTTTTAAAAATGAACAATGATATTTGCTTCACATTTCACAGAGGTTCTTAGGAAGGTAAAATTATCATAGTAATAGGATTTATTACTATGAATTTATTAATAAGATTAAATTATCATTAATGTGACACTTTTCATTAAAAGTAAGTTTTTTGTGAGCTTTTCCTTGGCAGAAACTCTAATTCTTTGCATTTATCTCAGCTTCTTATACGTTGGCTGTAATGTAATAAATGTTTCTATGAATGGATTTTCAGTATTAACTAAAAACTCTAGAACTGCAACAGTTTAGAGGAATCCCAACTTTCCATGTTTTATTAAGACAAAAATGTCTTCAGTACAAAGCTTTGAATGCATCAAAAACCCAGATGAATCATCAGACATATCAGATGAAGACTAAGGTCTACACACTTATAACTTACTCAGCTGTCTGTTCCAAATCATGGCTAGAACTAAGTTTATTTATAATTTAACAACTCAGCTGAAAACGTAACGGGTATATTTGTTCGTCTATCTATACTTTTTAAAGTTAGTGATATAATGTGGCCATGTAAAATGTTTTATTTCCCAGGCTAAAGCAAATGACAGTTTGCTAGTAGCCTGTCATATTTTTACAGCATGCAAAGAAGGTGCTAGGATAACAATTTCTCACTGTAAAGCCCAGAGGCAGAAAGGGTCTGGGGATAAGCTATTTCATAAGAACAACTTTACACAGTCAGTATTGAAGTTTTCATTTCAAAAGGTTTCATTCAAAAGATACAGTAATTGGCATACGTATTCTACAGCATGGATCCTCTCTATGGCATAGTTTTTTCATTTACACCTTTTTTTAGTAAAAAAGAAAAAAAACAAAATCTGTCACATTATATATTTTTTGGCTTTCATGTCATCGAAAGTCTGGAAAAATGATAAATTTTGCTGTTAAACTGATGGATTCTTTATAGAATTGTATTTGGGTTGCATAGGCAATAGTCTTAATGTTCCTGGTTATGATAGATCAACTTGCTTTTACAATGTGGCAGAACCAGCACTTACTATCCCTTTTGCTTCTATCCAGCAATCAAAGTACCCTCACTTCTGTGAGCCACCAGAGTGTCCCTACCAACTTCACTTGGCAGTGAGGTCACACTCACTGGAAACCATGCAAACAGCCATTTCAAGGCTCCAGGCAGCTTTGGCACAGAGTTGACCAAACACTAGGGCAAGTTCAAGCAATACAATTTACTCTGAACATCTGAATAAAAACCATATACATACACACACACACACACACACACACACATATATTCATAAATCCATGCTTATGTTGAATCAACTTATAACATCTACATAAGCAAGTCTCGTACACAGTTAGGCCAGTTTAAGTGTTTTGTGTTCATCCCCTGCTTATTATATGAATGATAAGCTGAACAGGTCATTTGAATGTGTCCATAGAGAAGTAACACTCAGCCTGAGGTCTATGTTCTCCGCCTTGTGTGACAACATTCCCCGGGTCCCGCAGTCTCAGAGGATGGAAATCTTGACATGGAGGGAAGCCTTTATCTACTGAAGCATTTAAGGAAAGTAGAGTTAGAGTCCTACCCCTCTGACACTTTCATTGCTTATGTATGATTTTTTAATATTGCCATGATATGTATGGGGAAAGACATGTTTAAACACATGCAAAATGATTTTTTAAAATTATGTCATGGTGTAACTTTGACTTATGAGAGGCCAATCAAAAACTTAGGAAGTTTAACAATAACTGGCTAATGGTGCTGAAAATGCATTACAACCACCAAAATTGTTACAATTTTGAGGTTTCTTTGCAATTAAAGTTTTTATTAAGTGTGAACTATCATTTATTTTGGTGCTAAATATATGGTGCTAAATGTATTGTTAGTGTTAATAGCTTTCGTAAGGCTCTTTTTAGTCATTATTAAAAGTGTTATCCATTCAATTCCGATTCAGAAATAATAATAAAATCCTGTTAAATTAATCTTAACCAGAAACAGGCCAGTGAACTGTATTTTTAATCTAAAAGCCCAAAATTATTTTAGTGTTACAGAATGTAAATTTATTTTTTTTAAGTTACTAATTTTCTCTTAAGGCATTTCTTAGATTGGCAATGTCCAAATTCAAATATTGCCTAAAGGTTAAACACCTACACCAACCATACTGCAGACACTGGCGCCCTCTGGCGGTTGTAAAAACAAATTCTTGATGGCTACTTGGCCTGAAACAAAAGCCCTTTCTTCTGTCCAATAAAAATTTAAGCTGCATAATTTTAGAATTCTCAAATACTCTCTAAATCTGACAGCATTTGAAAATGCTTGACTCTTTTGACATACTTTTCTAAGAGAATAAGAGCGATACTATATCTTGGTATCGACTTTGCTAAATAATAATGTTTTTCATGATTTTCCAGTCCTGAGGTGCTTATTACAATGTTGTTGTTTTTTTGCTTTTTAACTAGGAATTACTAAAATATTTTTTATTTGGTTTACATTTTAAATACAATTAGATTTAAAATTAGCAAACAAGATCATAAGTGTGCTCCACTTTCAGAAGCAGTAATTTATTTTTACTTTGCAGAATGCATAAGATAAAAAGGAGATAGGTTTAAAAAAATTAATTCCACATAGGAAAGGATTATCTCCTCACCTGAACTTGTTGGTCTATAATGTGATAATGTTCTTTGATCACACTATTGAGCTAATAATGCAATTTTAACATTCCATTCGAACTCCTTTTAGCCTAACAAATGTTTAGAATCACTTCCCCTGTAACTAAATGGGCCGTATTCTTAGGTAAACTCTCAGGTGAGGTATGTAATCGACTGATGCGATCATCTGTTTGGAAAGAGATGTTTCTTAAACCATGTTAACATAACCTAATGAAATATGCTTTGAGGCTGTTTTCCAAATTAGTATTTTCAAACTTATTTTAAAGCAACAGAACCCTTTCATTATCTCAATGACATACAAAGCTCTGACATTCAATACACAAA